TGTAGAACAGACCTGAGTGAAACGGGGGAAGGAACTAGGTGACAGGTTCATTCATTAGATGAGTGTTTGTTATGGTGCTTGTTAGCTGCATCCTTTTGGTTCTTAGTCACACTTCTTTCTATGGGTACTGAACTATTTATATTTCTATGACTTAGGAGGCCAAGCAGATTTTACAGTCCAGGAAGGAAGTGCCTGGGCTTCCCATGTGCTTTAAATATCTGCTAGTGATTACAAATTTCCCATGACTGACTTAGTACTTCTTGAATGGTTTGTCAGTTCTGTAAATGAATTTAATATTAGAAGTCCTTTGAAGAGGAGCAAGCATTTGGAAGAACCTAACAGAAGAAAGCAGCTATGATATGGAGGAAAGAATCTTGAGTCAAGAGAATTGGGTTTGAATGCCAGGTCACCACTGACTGTGTGGACTTGCATATGTCCCCTAACTGTACTGCATTTGTTTCTTTATCTCTAAAATGGGGATGATAATGTTTAAATCACATAGTTGTTGTAAAGGTCGAATGAAATAATTGATATGAAAAACACTTAGTATGCAATAGGAAATCAGTAAATGATACTTGATTTTGAAATTTTGGAGTATCCTTAAAGATAATGGTCTGCAGTGTGTCTTCTGCATAAAATAAGTCTTAGGATATTACACTAAATTTAAAAAGTAGAAATAAGAGATTTATGTAACTATAATATTACCTCATGATAATTGTAGTTAACATTGAGCTCCCACCATGTTCTAAGAACTATTCTAAGCATGTTACATGGATTAACTCATTTATTTCTCACACCGACCAAACAAGATAAGTACTATTATTTTGCCCATCTAACTCATGACAAAAATGAGGCACAAAGATGGGGCTCCTGGCTGATTCAGTCGGTAGAACACGTGACTCTTAATCTCAGGACATGAGTTCAAGCCTTGCATTGGGTGTGGAGCCCACATAAAAAAGTAAAAAATGAAGCACAAAGAGACTAATTAATCTGCATACTGTCATACAGTAAGTGGTAGAATTGAGATAACAAATGCAATAATTAAAAGATTACTTACCCCGTCCCAAGCCATCACCTAGGACTTTCCATTAAAAAAATTAAGCTTTTTTATTTTTTAAAGTTTATTTATCTTGAGACACAAAGAGAGGGAGAGAGAGAGAGAGAAAGAGAGAGAGCAGGGGGTGTGCAGGGGCTGTGCAAAGGGAGTGAGAGAATCCCCATGCTAATGGCGCAGAGCCTGAACCCAGGAACTGGGAGATGGTGCCAAAATCAAGAGTCGGATGCTTAACTGATGGAGCCACCCAGGCAGCCCCACCTAGGTCTTTCCTAAAGAAACATATCTGCAGAAATTGACAGTAACAAAAAAATTGAACTTAAGGCATGACCAAGTTTAAAGAGAGTGGGTAAGGTAAAAAAAAAAAAAAAAAAAAAAAAAAAACTCAGTGCTAATGTTAATTAAAGGTTGCTTTAGATTATATCTAAAGTGAATAGCCCACACTGTAATATTAAGGATCATTTACTTTATTATGTAATTTCGTATCTTCTTTCTGAAGATCTACTCATTTTAAGAAAAACAGTTGCTTAATACTGATCAGAGACTAAGAAAGTCACCTAAGAAGAACAGATCATCTAAAATTCCAAGGACTTTTTAAAAAAATACTAGAGTACAGCAATAATATTTTGAGGGATTGATTGTAACAGATGTGATCAGTTTCAGCCATAGTTGAACAACACCCAGCAAAACAATGACTCTGGTTATCTAGAAACTGAAAATTCCAATGACAAAGAGGTAAATAAATTATAAAAACAACCTATGTGTTCTACCAAATTATTTAAAATCTTTTACCATGAGTTAAATCTATAAAAGCTAGAATATACCAGCTTGAGGAATATATTATATAGCGAAAAGATCATGACTATTTATGCATGCTAAATGATAACCAATCATCCCAGGCTTACAAATAATAGTTACCATGATACTATACTGAACCATTAGTTATATATTAACTAACTAAATGAAGTAGAATATATTTCCATTCCATATCCCATTTCATATATCTTTTTATTGTCCTTTTCCTTAAGAATAAGCACGAATATGGTACTAAGATGACAAACGTAATTTTTTGTAGATTAATAGAAAAATAAAGTATAACATTCCTACTCTCCATATTTCAAATTGGCAAAAACAAAACGACATAAACACATAGATAAAAACTTAACTACCAAATCTTTGATATGGTAGAATATAATGGTGATATTAGGCAGAGACCCATCAATGTGCCATAAAAACCTATGCAAGGAAGTGTATACAAAAAGGAGAGAAATCAAGCTACAAAGAACAGAAGCATACACAAGTATTATAGAAGTATTAGGATGACTGACAAAAGTGGGTAGCTTTTTAATCAAAAGTTAATAAAATAGAAGCTATCATTAAAAAAAAGTTTTAAGAACATCATCACTGTCTTTCAGTCCCATAGGGAAACTGAAATGTCCTTATTTCTTTGCTATTATCTAGAAGCACTGTGGAAATACATCGATGTTATCACCACAAAGATAACCAGATACTACAAGAAGATACCACTGAGATCAACTGTAATTAGTTTGAATAGCTTAACAGTAGATAGTCTTTGTAAGTAGAATTCATTCACTTTTACTATTTTTTTTTTTAGAATTCCATCTACTTTTAAACCTACTAGAGCCAAGCATACTGGAAAAAAGCTTTCATTAATCAGCTCTGACATCCAGGGAAACCAAAACATAGGAACAGGCAATGGTTTTGAGTTCTTGTACAGTCTCAATTATGTGTTAGTCAACTCAAGCAACCATTATGTACTCAACAATAGGTATGACACAGGGCTGGACATCAGCAACACTATAAGCAGGCAGGCACAGGCAGCCTACTTCTACTGACTTTTCTAGTGTTAACATTCTTAAGAAATATGGAAAATAGTAATATGTCTTCCTCACTAGAACTTTATCGTAGTGCTCTACTAGATTTATCTTTTATTAACAAGCCTGTGCAGAATAACACTGTCTTAAGAAATAACAACATAGCGTCTTAGAGGAAAAAGAAATGTAGGATGCCAGTGTGGGGATAACCTTCCAATTGCCAACGATTGTTGTGAATATAACGATATTTTTCCGAACATTAAAGCCTCTGTCGTAGGTAGCTTCAGTAAGAAAAAAGTTGACTTGAAACTTTAAAATATCATTGGTGTACATGACAATGTGACGAAGTAAACAAAAGAAAAATTTTAAACATTGTTTTAAAAAACATCAGGGGAGAAGCACGAGGTTGCTTATTATGAAGCACTTACAGAGTCGGATGCATTTTCAAAGCTGGTTACAATCATTACCACAGCACTCCCTTGTGAGGTAAGTGTATTATCATCTGTGGTTCATAAATGAAAAAGCTGAGGCACTGAATCACTTGCCTAAGGAGAATGAGTCAACGTCAAGAGTCATAGTTGACCGACCTAACTTCTGACGGTCAGTCCAGGGCTTAGTCAGCGGGGGCCGGAGTGGCTTCCCTGGCTGGCGCCTGGACTTAGGCTGTTTCCGTTCACGCTGAAGTGGAACCGAGAACACAGAACTTTCAAATAATTTTTCCTTGTACTCAAGATTGAGCCCTGAGGTCTTATCTCAGGACTTGGGACAGGAAAAGCTGTCGGGTGCCCTCCCCCTCCCCCAACCTGTGGCAAGTGGGTACTGTGGGCGGTTCTGCCACCCCCTTTCGCAGTGATGGCAATGAGTGACCACCAGCGTTAGCAGAGCCGGGGGACGGGGGAGGGTGGATTGCTTTAAACAAGGACTCGCCATCGCCGCCTCTTTCTGCAAAGCGAAAGAAAATGGTGGGAAGTCAAACAAAATTTAAATAAACAGACGACTCGTCCTAGGACCTCGACTAAGCAAATGAAGCCTCGCTGTGCGTGCTGAGCCTGCAGTTCCCAACTTTCCGGGGAAGATGGGAGGACAGGGCAACAAAGGGCACGGCAGGCATGTCTGGCAGTAGACGCTACAGCAGCTATCCAGGCGGAAGAGCACAGGACTGAACACCAACCTCCAGCACGCTAGGGTCCGCCGCCGAGAACCGTGCACCCTGCCCACCAACCACGTGACAAGCCCCCTCCCCCCCTTTTCTTTAAACTTCTTTACCCTTAAAAAAAAAAGAGAGGGAGCCAGAGAGTGAGCGAGAGACTCCACTTCCCAGAAGCCTCTTGTTACCCACGCAGCCGCAGTCTTGCGCAGGCGCCGCCAGGGCCAAACGGACACGTCCGTCACGTGAACAGTAGCCGGCCAATCCGGTTTGAATCTCATTTTTTTCCTCTCACCCCTCCCTTCAGGAGCGGTTGTGCGATCAGATCGATCTAAGATGGCGACTGTGGAACCGGTGAGTATTGCCTTTGGCCCCCACCCCCACCGGTCCCCGCGCTCCGTCCCCCTTCGGACTGGGGGACCCCGCGGGACTGCGTTCCCGGCGCGCACGCTACCTCTTGCTGCCCCCTCCCCCTCTTCTTGGGTCTGACCTCTCCGCGGGCAACTGGGGACGCCCCGGCGGCTGGTCGCGGCGGCGTGTAGCGCACACGTTCCGGTGGGGGCCCAAGAGCCGGGGGAGAGGGGTGGGGGAGGGGCGGCACGGCGCCTCCGGTGAAGCCGCGAGGTGGTCTCTAAGGGTGGAGGGGGATCGGGGCCCTGGGCTAGGTGTGTGAGGTTTGTGTCTTGGCGATAGAAGGGTGCAGGACTGGCCCCGAGCGGGCGCTGGGATCCGCAGGGAGGGTGGGCGGCGAGCCGGCCTGGAATGAGATGGAGGAGGGAGGGAGCCCCGGGGTAGAATCACCCTCCCTCTTTCCCTCCCGAGCTCCAGCCTGGGGGTTCGGGTGCGAGACGCACGCGGGTTTCCTGTAGACCGGTGGGCCAGGGAGCCGGTGGGCGCGCGTTGCCGAAGGGTGGGTTGGGCGGGAGTGGTGCCGCCGCACGCGCGGAGAAGCTTCGACCTCGTCGTGGGGAGCCGAGAGGGGCAAGCGCATGTTACTCCAACGCGCTCAAGAGTTGCCGGGGTTGGCGGCAGGGGAGGCGAGAAAGGTTTGGGGCGGGGAGGGAAACCTCGTGTAGCGCGGTAAAGCTCCCAGAGTAGGAAGAAGGGTGTTGGTGGTGAGAAACGGGGATCACATTGTCCTCTCCCCTCCATGCTTGATACTGGGCTGTCATGGAGGAGGGAAGGGGAGGAGCGAGGCCTACTGATCGCTGCTGCTGGTCTAGTTGCCGGCGGGACCTGCTGCATTTCACACGCGCCTGTCTCCATTCATTCATCCTTTTCGCGCAGTGCGCACGTCTCCGAGAATGCGGTTGGCTCTTGATCCGTCTGCTCTTCCGAGCCTTTATCGCCTGAAAGATTTCTAAGGCACAGTTTATTGGAAATAGACACTTAACTCTAAAAATTGGTTTTACATACTTTTTTTTTTTTTCTTTACTCGTCCTACCGGCTTTCTTTTCAGTTTAGGCACCATCTTAAACTTAGTTGAAGCAAGCCGATCCCAGTAATTTGGTAGTTACCGCCCAAAAGAAGAGGATATCTTTGTCATAGTTTGGGTTTGCCGGCACTGGGTCACTGAAACTTAAAAGACTTGGGCTGCTGTTTTAGGAATGTCACATTTCACATCTAAGTGAAATTGTTTTAGAGGCATAATACGGAGTATTTTAAGTAGAAGACCTTTGACACCCTGTAACCAGTTCTACACCTTGTTGCCAGGGTTATTATTATTATTTTTTTAAAATTTTTTTTGGTATCTAATGGAAGTTTGTGACTTTTGATGACTTAACCAGTTTGCTTTGACTATTTAGAGACTTTTATAGCTAGCTCAAAATTAGCCATGGAAAGGCTTATAGAATACAAAAAGACTTATTTTTCATTACATTGGTGTAAACTATCTGTAGCTTGTTGCCAGAATTTAAGGCAGTTCTTCTGTTTGCTTATTTGTTTTTTATCGGTACCAGTTTTCATTTATGTTTCTGAAAATTAGGTTGGCTGCAAAACTGTCTCTTAATTTCCTGATACAGTTAACTCACTTTGGACCATTCATGTTACAGATAAAGATATAGGATGAATATGAAAATATTCCCTTTTAACAAGTTTCCATGTTCACTTTTTAAAACTGGATCTGCTTTCCTACCCACTGTAACCGGCATTAAAAAGCATTACAGCTGATAATAGGAACAAGGTTAACATCTCTAAGCTGTAAAATAATGTATTCTGTGAAGTTTACCAGTAATATTTCAGTCTTTTGGATTTTGCAGAGCTACGTAGTTTTGTTTCAAGAGCACAGAACAGAACTACAAAGTGTTGAAGGACTATTTTGAGTCAGTAAATATTTATAGCCTCTGTTATGTTTAGGAGGTTATACCAAATGTTCTTTAGAATACAGAGTTATGTAAAATGTGATTTTTATACCTTGTTCAGTGTAAACTCTTAAGGAACCTAATTCCCAGTGATGCAGTCAATGATAATGGTATACTATTCATTCTGGTGCTGACCCAGGGAAATTTGGATACTGCATTTAAATTTGGGGAGTAGGGAACCTAAAAACCTGAAGTGTGTAAAATGGAGAAAGACAGTAGTAGTTTGAGGATGTTTGTAAAGTAGACTGAAGTATTCATTTTTAGTAAGAATGGTGAAGTTTTAGTACTTATTTTTTATTAAAAAAGTTTTTTAATGTTTATTTTTAAGAAAGCACGAATGGAGGAGGGGCAGAAAGAGGGAGGCACAGAATCTGAAGCAGGCTCCAGGCTCTCAGCCGTCAGCACAGAGCCCGATGTGGAGCTTGAACCCACAAATCGTGAAATCATGACCTTAGTTGAAGTCAGTCGCTTAACCAGCTGAGCTACCTAGGCACCCCAAATTTTTAGTACTTCTAATGCACCCTTTTCACAGGTTTGTCTTTTAGAATTCTTTGACAATTTTAAATAGTGGGTGGAATTTTTTTTAAAAGCAGCCTATTAGTATTGATTAAAATTGAGGTATTCCTGCTGAAGCTTCCAGAAACCGTTTTTGTTCATTGCTGCTTTAGCCAGTGAGTTCCTTATTGCTTTTCAGTTGGGCATAATCATAAGCACTTAAAGAATCATGGGCTTTTCCTGCTTGTCCCACCTTTCATAGGCTTTGGGGAATTTTTATCTATGGAAATTAACATAAAATAGTCATTTTCAGTTTGATATTTGATTTTAATCAGGTGTGTCTAAGACATCTGTTATATTAAGATGTGGCTTACAAATATCAAATTTGTTGAGAAGCTTGATGGGGCAAATTAATGGAAGCATTTTACCTCTTTACAGGTAATATGGCAAAATTTTGAACATTGGGATCAACATTCCAAAGCATTCGTACTATCTTCTGGCACTGGAATTGTGGCTAGGTCAAAATTAGACTCAATATTAGTCATGAAGATGGCAAGCAGTTTCCCCAGGCCATCTTGCTTACAGTGGGTTATGTTTCTTTGTAGCTTTATTTTCATTCTTAATTTTGGGCTATTTTTTGACTTGTAGTTCTTTTTAAGATAAGAGGTTTTTTGTTTTGTTTTTGTTTTAGTTAAAAGGGCATATAGTTTTACATGTTTTTTACATTTCATCTCTTGGATTTTTAGAACCACATTAATTTTATAAGTGGAATTAACTTGGACAGCTAATCCAGTACTTCCATTTTTATCCTTCAGAAACTTGTTTTGTACTACAGAGTTTGTTTAAAGTAAATAAGGCTCACACGTGTATTGACTAATATGTTGGATATAATTTAGTGTTTTTGGTTAATCAGAGACTTGATTGGGACAAGCAGACCTTGCAAATTAATATACTTTTTAAAAATATTTATTTTTGAGAGAGTGCGTGATCATGTGTGAGGGAGGGACAGAGAAGAGACAGAAGCAGGTCCTGGACCCTCAGTGCAGAGCCTGATGTGGGGCTTGAGCTCATGAATTGTGAGATCATGACGTGAGCCAAAGTTGGTTGCTTAACTAACTGAGCCACCCAGGTGTCCCCTATACGTATTTTTGCCTAAGTGAAAAAACCTAGTACATGTATCAGAGGTCATTCATAAACCAAATAAATTTGGTTCTGGTGTTTTATATTTCAAATTTCACTTTATTTTATAGTTTGAATTAATAACTGTGCATAATTATATGACTTAGAGAAATCCAGTTTAGAAGGCAGACATAGTTTATACACAGAAGTTGCAGAGAATACAATGTTAAACAAATTAGGTAAGCCTAATCCAATTTAGACAGCAGAGTCTAGGCAAAATTTAAAAAATATATTGTTTAAGGTTAAAAATGTAAAAGTACCTGGATGCAACAAGTACCTTGTGAGGTGGTTATGCTAGCAGTGGCAATTTCTACTTTTCAGTCTCTGCGACTGCTGGAAATTTCCTAGTTTTTCTGTTACCTGTGAGTTTTTCCATCTTTGTAATAGAGACTTTCTGGAGAAATGAAAATAAGCATGGGTTATAGTCTGATTTTAATATGAGTGACCTTGACTGAAATTTCTAAGTCTAGTTGATAAAATGGGAATTAGAAGATATCTTACAGTGATTTTGATTTTCAAATACAGTATTCAGAGATGACAACTTGTCAGTTATGAAGAACTGGATAAAGTTAATACTCCATGAATGTGTTGCATGCAGGTGTATTCATGGATACATACATACTCACCTTTTCCTCTCTTTGCTAAGAAATTCACATAGCAATTATCAACCCTTGGCCATTAGCAAGAAATGGAAAGCTTATGATCTACAAACCTCAGATACTCTTCTCACTCCTATCCCTGTCATAAAAATCACTAGTGTTCCTTCAAAAGTTCCTATTTGTGTTTGGAGAAAAAAGAAAGGATCACTTTTGACTTTCAGGTATGTGGGAATGTGTTGGGTAAATACGGTTTTTTCCCAGTTGGAACTTTTGATACATTATTCCATAGAAACAATGAGAAGCTGTAATTTAGTTACATTGTTCAGTAAGTTTCTGACTTATTGAATGCTGACAGATGTAACTAGCATTGAATTTCCAGGGATATGGATTTAGAGTGCTGAGCAACTGACAATAAAAATGACCTATAAACGCAACCTATTTTTAAGAGTGATTTTTAATGTAGGCAGGTTTTTATTTCTTAATAATAGCTAACATATAGCACTAATGTGTGTCAGGCTTTGCATATATTAATTCATTTAATCTTACAGCAGCCGTATGAGGTAGGTATTGTTAATTCAGATGAGGAAACCAAGGCACAGAGAGATTAGGTAACTTTGTGTGACTAACTTGCTGAAAATCTCACAGCTAATAAATGGTGGGGTGGAGTTCAAACTAAAGCAGCCAGATTCCAGAGTATGTGTTCTTAACTGTGACACTGTCTTTCCATGTTGTGTTTTCCTTATGTGACCTGGGAAAATTAATTTGATGAACTTACTAGATATTATGCTGCAGCTGTAAAAGAAAACGTGTGGACATTTTAGGCTCTGTTCTGGAGTGTTTGATAACTGATGACAAGTACAGAATCGTAAGAAAATAGCACTGTGGTATCTGAATTCAAGGACTAAACAAGTAGTTATACATAAGGTTATATTTTAGTAACTGGTCTGGAATACCTTGGATAGATTTCTAAAGAAAGCGAATGGACATTTCCCTCCTCCTCCTTTTCATTTGATTACTGGACCTTGTCAATTCAAATGATTTGCCATTTAAAATGTTTTGGTAGTGAAAACAGTATTAGTACGTTTTTAACAATTTGTGAATATGGAATTTGCTCTTTACTTTTGTACTGTTACAATTTTGGTGAAAGGACTGGCCGAGAGATAAGCAGTGTTTTGAAAAACTTTGAATATATGTTGCTAATTTTAAAAGCTAAATTCTTTGAGGATGGAAATAAGACCATAAGATTTCTCTGAAACTCATGCCCTTGCAGTAATTGCTAAAGACTTTACTTTTATTAGATTTTTTTTTGACATTTATTCATTTTTGAGAGACAGAGCATGAGTTGGGGGAGGGGCAGAGAGACTGAGACAGAATCCGAAGCAAGCTTCAGGCTCTGAGCTGTTAGCGTAGAGC